AAACATAATAAATAGTTCTCTATGTCATGTATTTTGGAAATACCTTTGTAAAATGTGCACTCAGCAATTGCTTCCTCCCTAGAATCTACTTTCTAGAATAGTACTGTCCAGTGGAGTTTCAGAACGGACATGTTCTATCTGCATTGTCCAACATGGCCGCCATTGACTCCATGTCACTTCTGAGCACTGGAAATATGGTGATAGTGCCTAAATAGCTGAATTTTTAATTTTAATTAAATTCTGGGGCGGGCACTTGGTACAGTGGTTAAAACACCACTTGGGGTACCCACATCCCCTAAGGGACTGCCCAGGTGGGAGTCCCGGTTCTACTTCCACTTTCAGGTTACTGCTAATGCACACTCTGGGAGCCAGCAGGTGATGGCTTACATAGTTGGGTCCTGCCACCATATGGGAGACCCAGATTGATTCTGGGCACCTAGGTTTGGCCTGGCCCAGCCCTGGCTGTCGCGGGTATTTGGGGAGTGGTCCCAGCAGATGGAAGATGTTTGCCTTTCAACAAAATGAAAATAAACCTTAAAAAAATTAAATCCTTTGGAGGATATACACAGAAGTGAGATTACCGCACCATATGGTTATTCTATTTTTAATTTGGGGAACCTCCATACGGGTTCCCACAGCAGCTGTACTCTTTTTACCTGACAGTACCTGAGGGTTCCAATTTCTCCACATGCTCGCCAACATTTATTCTGCTTTGTTTTGTATAACACCCATCCTAAACAGTGTGAGGTGGTACCTCATAGTTTTCTGTATGTGTATTTCAACATAAGAGAGAACCAGGGAGTAGCAGAGACCTACCCTCACACTGATTCATCCTCAAATGCCTGCAAGTGCTGGGCCAAAGGTGAGAGCTGGGAACTCAATCCAGGTCTCCCACGTGGGTGGCAGGGACCCAACCACCTATTACCAGATGCCTTCTAGGGTCTGTCTTAGCAGACGGCTGGAATCAGAAACTGAGGGTAAGACTCAAACCTACGTACCCTGCCGCAGGATACAGGGATCTTAAGAGACATTTTCAGGGCAAGGCCAAATGGCCATCTTGGCATCTCATAGTTCTGATAAACAATTTCCCTAAAATCATTAGTGCTAGCATTTTTTTTTTTTTGACAGGCAGAGTGGACAGTGAGAGAGAGAGAGACAGAGAGAAAGGTCTTCCTTTGCTGTTGGTTCACCCTCCAATGGCCGCTGCGGCCAGCACGCTGCACCGATCCAATGGCAGGAGCCAGGTACTTATCCTGGTTTCCCTTGGGGTGCAGGGTCCAAGTACTTGGGCCACCCTCCACTGCACTCCCTGGCCACAGCAGAGAGCTGGCCTGGAAGAGGGGCAACCGGGACAGAATCAGGTGCCCCGACCGGGACTAGAACCCGGTGTGCCGGCGCCGCAAGGCGGAGGATTAGCCTAGTGAGCTGTGGCGCCGGCCATTAGTGCTAGCATCTTCTCCTGTCCTAGTGTCCATCTGTCGATATTCTTTGAGAAATTTTCAGCAGGTTATTTTGTTATTAAGTTCTAGGAGCTTTCTACATATGCTGGATATAAATTCCTTATCAGATAGGAGGGCATTTTAAAAAGTGGAAAAATGAAATTAAAAGATAATGAACATTTCCCCTGAACTTCCTCAAGCACCCTCAGATCCAATTTGCAACCATTTTCTCCCATATTCAGAGTTGCCTTCTCAATGTTTTAATGCCCAAGTTTTTAATTTTCATGAAACACCCTCTACATTTATTTGTGTTGCCTTGCCTTTGGTGCCATATTCAAGGGCTGGAAGAGGGATCAGCAGCATGACAATCGCTAAGACCTGGAAGCACCCTTTGCCACTCACGGCTGAGTAGAAAATATGGTGGACACACACCACAGAATACTGCCCTGTTGGCTCCTGTTTGGACAGGACTGCCGTAAGTGAAGGCAGACAGCCATATTAAACAGAGATTAGCGTGCACAGTGGGCTGTCCAGGGATGTCAGTGGGTGGAAACGGACCCACTGAAGTCTGATTATGCACCAGGAGTCGGGTAAGGGATGCTGGCTTATTTTCTTGCAATGCAGACCAGGAGGCCAGCAGAATGCACTACTCACCCCTGCCACCTCTATATTTGTAACAGATGCACATAATATCTGGAAGTTGAAAAATGGAAGCTTCAACATGTCACATCAATAAAACTCAGCTTGAAAGTAGATGACAACAGGCAGCAAGGTACTTGTTTCTTCCTCAAATTGTATTACTGAACTTTCTGGAATATGCCTTACAGGAGCCCCCTGATCATATGGTTTCACTTTCCACAGTTAGAGGTCACTGTGGTCAATTGCTGCCTGACAATACTGGAGAACCCCAGAGCTAAACAACTTGTCACCTTGAAGCTGTGGAGCACTCTGAGTGGTGCCATCCCACTGTCCCGTCTGGGACACTATCATTGCTTTGTGCAGCGTATCCACAGTGTATATGCGACCTTCCTATTAGTCACTCGGTAGTGTCTCAGTTACCCAGCACAGTGTCACAGTTCAAGCAACCTGTATTTTAATTAGTAATGGACCCAGGGTGGAAGAGCCTTGATGCGAAGGTGGACCCAGGGCATCAATCACCAAGGGCAGGTTTACTCTGGTGCTGTGTGGCAATGCTGCAGGGCGTACAGGAAAAGAGGACGCTTCCCACCCAGTATGTGTAGGGGTCTGGTTCCAGCACCCTCCACCTCCACAAAAAACAGCAAGACCTGCAGGTACTCAAGTCCCACAAATAAAATGGAACAGTATTTGCATGTTGTCTGTGCACAAATGAGGGTACTTCAAAACATGCATAGGAAATGGAGTTAAAGGGGGAGTTATACCACATTGCTTAGAGAATAACAAGAGAAACGCCTATACCTATTCACAACAGACCCTTTTTCCCCACCTCAAATACTTGCAATCCACAGTTGGTTGGGTCCACGGGTGAGGAATGCTACAGAGGGCCACTTGCACACAGAGCCAGGGCTCAGGCCTATCTACGGTTGTAGGCATCCTCCAGCGGACTTGGGATGCAACCCCATAGATAAGGGAGAACCACCGGTCTTAAATGACCACACACGCCAAATAAAAACCACCTAGCTGATGGCAACACTGCTGCCCTTCAGTCTCAGGCTCACTGCCAATGACCAAGCACGTAACTTACGTGCTGCATAAGCAAAAAAGTTCACAATCCATCAGGGTCTCGGGTATTTCACCCCAAAACTCAAGCTGTGATTATGAGGGTCCTTGTTTTATCAGTGAGACTTTTATTTGAGCATCCAAGATTCTCATTTTACCTACCTAAAAATAAGCCATCTCTCAAAATGTCCAGGAGGAAAAGGACGTCTTGAGTGCTACCTTAAGTATGCACTGGTCACCACACCCCAACTGCATTGCGGCTCTGAGTCCTACGACTTCTCCAGGCCTGTGCAAAGGCCCAGTGGACAACAGCTTCTGCAGCGTCATTTGTCTTCCCAGTGTCACCACGGATTTCACCCCCGTCCTGGGGTTCATGATGACATGAGTTTTGATGCAACTCGCAGTACGAGCCACCGCCTTCGAACTACCTGAGACTGGGGGGCCGGCACCCATAGTTCAAGGCCTCTCTCAAAGATGCCTTTTCTAAAAACTCTGAGAGAAATAAAGGGGAGGGAGAGTGGACCAGAAAAAACAAGCAATCCGACTTTTCTAACGAGGTATGGCAGCGATTACACAGTTACCTTGTTCCACAAGTGCCTTTCTCTTTCCTTTTCTGCTCTTTTTGTTCCTAGGGGCGGAGGGAAGTAAGGAAGGCAATGACAGGTTCTTCTAAGGCCATGCCTGCGTGAGGCTGCTTTGTGAACGCTGGGCCCGGCCCGGCTGAATATGCTCACAGCCACAGCGGGGCCACACGCCTTCCGCAGGGGACTCATTGGGATTCGCTGGCAAAGCCCTGCTGTCCCTGCTGGCAGTTCCAGGAGCCTCATTAGGTATTCCTCAGCGCCCCCTCCTGTAGGGCACTCGGGCTGACTCTGCTTGGCCCCTGGGTAGCTTGGGAATTTCCAATAGATTCGCACACACCAGGACTGGAAGGCTTGCCATTCGCTTGTTTTCATTTTCTTTTAAGACGCAAACGAACGCTGCACTTCGGAGGACTGTTGCACTGGAATACTGTTGTAAAAACGGGAAACGGTGGCCACCTGCAAGATTCTATGGGCCAGGCTAATGTTCCCGCTAAACGCTCTCTCTGGTCCTACGCCGGGAAGTGTTTTCTGCACACAAGATCATTACAGCTGAGGGCTGGAGTTCAGAGAGTACAGCGAACTCCATAAAACCTTACTTTCTTCCCATCCTCTATACACATGCGATATTTGAACATTTGCGTTTTATTAAACTGGTGACGGCGTGACGCCCACTGGACTATTTTTATTTTCTTCTTTACTGAAATGACATGTTGTGCACTCCTCTGGGTGTTTAAAAAAATCTGTAAAGATGTTTGAGAATTAGTGTCATGGGAAACTACATGTTTACTTTAAATATTTAATTAGAAGCCTCTCCCATGAGCTGGGAAATAATTTCTTGGCACACTTAAGGGGCAACAGTTCTCCTTTTACTGCTCTCTTAACTATCCACTACTATGGGTTTGCAGAGAGCTTGGAATGAACCTAAAATAGTACGGAGACCTCCGGGTATCTGCCATTGTGACGACGGGGGTTCTCACTCGTATGGAAACGACGGCAGGCAGCCACACATCCATGCCTGCATACGGGTGCATGTGTGTTACACAGTCTATCTTGCCCCAAGTCCAAAGTTTGTGCTTTGCACATAAAAAGGAAAAATTCAGATCTGCCTCCATCTAATATGTACCCTTATTTTCTCCAGAGAAAAGGTAAAAATTTCTTACAGCTGTAAAACTTAAATGAGTATTTTTCTTCTAATGGAGAATACACGCTGAACATAGTTTTTCTTTCACCTCTCAACTAAGCTTTTTTATGACGCTCTGAAGCAAGGCCTATTCATCAATGAAATTCTACAGATAATTTTTATTTCAGCTTTTAATGTATTTTCTACTAAAAAAAATCAAGCTGTCGAGACAGGAAAATATTACTGATTTTGTTATTACAAAAACAAGTAAGGGTTTTTCAATTCACCAAGGATGAACACACAAGACATTGCTCTCACTGTACACACAGTGTTACAATCAGATGGTTAGCAGGATACTAACAAGACATCAGCGACTTCACACACACACATACACACACATGTACTTTGCAACAAGAAACACAGAACAATTTTAATCTTTGATATGTTCATGACCACCCTTGGGGAAGAATGTTACAGAATTGGGTCTCAGTATTTTCCTGGTAAAAAACATCCCTTATAAGAGCGAGCCTTAAGCACACGTTCTTTGGGACATCTTTAGGCAAATATAAGCATTCAGATTTGGGGCTCTTTCTCTTGACCCAAAATGATCTGCTTTAGTTGACAAACAGTTTGGTTTGTTATCAATTTAACAAGATCACAACAACACACACAGTCTTATTTTGACCACAAAACTCAGGTGAGAGAGGCTTTTAGACAGACCATACAAAAAAAGGATTTGTTCCCCAGGAAGGCAATCTGTAAATTATAAATTCAATCTTAAGAAAAGGAATCTGGGCCACAAATCATTTACTTTTCAAATATTGATGAAGAAATAAAAAGTATGTGTGGGGATGGGGCTGTGTTGGCATGGAAAGTAGAAGGAAGGGTGGGAAAAAAGGAAACCATATTCGCCACGGGAAATATTGGATTCGGTTGATTTTTAAAAAATGAGGTATGAGAGTATGCCAGTAAATGCAAAACCAAAGAAACAAATAAAAAAAAAAAACAAAAACAAACACTAAGAGCCCAAATGCACATTTCCAATGGAAAAATCTCTAAACCTCTTAATAGTTTTCTTTATTAGATTAGACATTTCATATACAGCAGTTAATCTAGAAAAATACATTTAAAAAATTTTCAACAGACCATGCTCCCTGTAACAAAACCTTCCAAACCCTGTTTTATTGTACAAATCAATCTACATTAGTAATGTAAAAAGAAATTCTCAAATTTAGCAACGTCATTTTCTATCCAATGTCCATCTAATGTACACATGGGTTTCTACTATTCAAACTAAAGAGTTAGACTTCTGTCATAAAATTTTTTCTAACATACTCTGTACATATTAAATAATCTAAAAGATTTCTCTTGTAGTGCATTTACCCTTAAACAAGTCTAGTCAATATTTTTTCAGTACCATTGGCATTACAGTGGTTTGCCTGTCAATGTAATCAAAATCTAAAAGTGCACACAGTTAACTCTCCCAAGTAACGGCCTATCTCTGGAGGAACCTACTACTCATGGAAAAGATTACCAACAGCGTGATTAGGAACGCAGGGTTAGAATGTCCTCTGAGACTATACAGCACAATGATATACACAGCTAAAGGACCTGGAGTCTTCAGCCTATATTTACAATGTCTATTTCCACAGGGTCATACCAGGAGCTCAGTATGGCACTAGATACAACTAGGGTTGTTAGCTACAATTCAGTATAAGCAAGACAGCTCAAAAAACACCCTGACCTCACTGATGCTAACTAGAACTCCAGTACATCACAGTGTTTTAAGTAGTATTAGTGTGCTGCCCAGACGCGCAACTGAGACACCCAGTGAGGATGCCGTGCGACACGAGCAGACAGCAAGCCTTCGGCAAGGGTTACGTCTGGTGACAGCACTTAGCCACTGCATGCAGAAACCCTGAAGAGGAAACGCACAGGTTTCAAGACAGGTATACTTCATTTTGTTTAAAATGCCCAAGTGGTTACATGTTGTTCTACCAAGTGGTGAGCCTACAGATCATGAGAAGAAACTACATTATCCAGTTTGAGGGGTGGGGGAAATGTAGTTTTCTTATCAAATTATCCAGTGTATATGACTGGTTAGAATTGTTAAGTTTTGATTTCTTTCTGTCTCTCTTTTTTTTTTCTTTTACTGAATTCCAAGTATGAAATGCAGACATTCAGGATAAATGAATTCAATATTACACAGTTACACCTCCTTGTGACAAAGCAGCAAATATGAGGGCCTAATAGGCATCGTGATGCTCCCCTTCCCTTCTGATCCCTCGAAAAAGTGCAAAATCAAAGAGTCACTGCTTGGTCCAAAACGAAAGCACACTGTGGACAGAGACGTGAAATCGATGGAGCCCCGCGTCGCTCCGCAGGTCGTCCTCGCGGAGAATCAACGTCCGAAGATGGAGCTTACTTCCAGCAGAATTAATTCCACAATCTGATTCTGGTACACAGTATGAACCGCTATGTTGCCAGTCTCCTTCTCTGGTTTTAGTAGGGTGGGACCAAAGACAATTGCTATACTCTGGTAGGTCATTCGGTTTTTTTCTCCATTTTCTATAACTCTGGGAGGGGGGGAAGAGGTTGTTAAAAGATGGTGGGGAAAACTTTTTCACACTGCATCATGAACCTAACCGTCTGCATTGAGAAAAGAGAAATAGCGCTCATTCTCCCAAGACACATAAAGTCCTGAACCAAGGAGAACCCACTCTGAATGCCGTGTGAAGCCTTTTTTTGAATAAACTCAGATGAAAGGATAATTACACAAGAGGCCTTCAAAAAGTTCGCAAGAAATGCAATTTGAAAAAACCTGAAATCCACGCACAGCTCTTTTCACAGTACGCATTTCCTGGTGAACTCCCGAAGACCCGTTGGACACACTCTAACAAATTTTAAAAGTGTGAGATTTCTGGCTCCCTCTGTAAACAGGACACAGACTCAAAGTATTAGCTAGGATTCAGGTGGCAGTGGTCACTCCCCCAGGTGGATGGGGGGAGGAGGATTTCACCAGGACACAGAGATTGAACTTTGAATTATACTGATTTTATATTATTTTTGCAAAACAACAAAAATTTCCCTATTGGGATTATTTTAGATTCTAAAGTTCTTTTTATAAGATGAAAACATTCAGTTATTCACATGTCCAGAGTAACCCAGAGCCATGGTGGCTTTACTTGAAGGTAATTTAATGTCTCACACTTAAGGCTCAATCTCATCTTTGCACGAGTAGCAACAATGTGGCAGGCCCTATATAAATGCTCCACACACAGGGTCTATTGCATGTTTCACCCTACATCATTTCACCCCCGAGGAACTGATACTAAAGGAAGTCGGGGGAGCATCCTCTTTCACAGTCACAAAGACAGCAGGTAGCATGGCCGGAATCCCATCCTGGGTCTGAGTGACTGGGACCGCCCAGGGTTCCCACTGCACTACGCCGTATCTCAGACTGCCCTTCCCCTCTTACCTTTTGAGATGTCTAAAAAGAATCTGCATTGTATCTTGATTTGGCTTTGGTAACTGTCTGATTAGATCCTTAACAGCAGCGACTCGCTGTCTTGGTTCCTGCTCTGGAAAATAAATAACAAGTAGGTATTCGGCAGCCAGTACTTAGGAAACTGAAAGCAATGACCGTTTGGAAACGGGTATTTGGTAATACACAGCGCCATCTGGTGGTCACATTTAAAATATCTGGAGTAAAACCATCTTTAAAATGAGAGATCAAACAACACGGCGGCATCATCTACGGGAAGGATTTTCAGTATGTAGAGAAAAAAACAATGGATTTACATACTTACTAATTGCATTAACGAAATCATTAAAATGATTAAATGTAAAAAGCGGTTCTGGTAATTCTCGAAAAAACATTTTGAGTGCTCCGGTGACGACATGAATATCTTCCCATTTGCTGTCGTTCAAGTCCAACTTCTCATCTGGGAAACAGAAGGAATCGGAAATTTTTAAAAATGGCCTCGAGCCAGTTCTGAAGGTGGTGAGTGCAGCTCTTGGCTGTGACAGCAGGGAGGATAATCTTACCGTGGTTGACTGCAAATCTCAGTTTCTGGATCACAGCAAGGTTGCCGCTCACTCTGTAGATCCCGTCGACATCCAGACCTAGGTGGAGGCACAACGTTTCAGGTTTAGGGATCGCTCTGCCGCCTCTGCAGCTGCCTGTCTGGGCATTCTCACTCGTTAGCATTCGTCTAAAACCAAATGCACAAATATTCTCCTCCGAACGGCTTTTTATACATGCTTGGCAAGGGGAGCGGGCTAGAAATTCACTCTGAATTCTGTTTAATAAACTCTGCTTTGTTTATCAGGCTCAAGGCAAACATAACATTTAAAACTTAAGAAACACAACAATTTCAGATAAACTTCTGAAACACCTGGGACAGTTCAACACGTAAAGGAAGCCAGTACACAACACTGGCCTGCTATTTTTTTGCGCACTACTTTATAACATAAATGTACACAGTGAAGAACTCTCTTAAAAGTATTTGTCATATTAAGTGCTTGCAATAACTGTAATACAAGCAGATCAAAAGAAACACGCTCATTTGATAATTTATCTTATATATGAAACAGAATCATTAGAAATTTACATAATTAAGCCTTAAATTTGTAGGTATGCATGAAATGACAGTGCTGTATACATTTAACAAAGCACATTAGCTGATGTGCTGTTCCGTTTAACTTCAGACAAAGGCAAGCAAGCAGTGTGATGTCGACGACTGTCACGTCGACAAGAGGAGCCGGGGCACAAGAGACCTGGAACTGGCAGAAATTACAAATCCTATCACATGTTTTAATTGCATGAAATGCTTCTGATGACACACAGATCTAGGATGGTGTGATTACAGCTAACATACTGTTAATTTATTTTAAAAAAAACTATTATAAATATTATAAATGTTAAAATTAACCAAAACAGAAATTAGCTTGTCACGCTTTGTAGGAAATGATGTCAACATTCTGTATTGACTGAACAGTCCTCAAGAATCCTTTTATGAACAACGACTGTACGTATTAATGGGCTGCAGCCTGACATTCCAATATATACACACAGCGTCATCTCACTTCCGCAGTCTCCTCAGATCTTTGCACTATCACTTCTTAACAAACGCAGTTTCACAATCACCGTGTTCTTCATTTTAATCAAAGGCCAACTCCAAATGGCTTCAGAGTACCACACACTTAATTAATCACTAGGATTAAAGCATTCAATAGATACCTGCAGAGGTCTTATTTGTGACAGGTCTAAATAAATAAGGTGGTGGTGTGTTTTGTTTTGTTTTGTTTTGTTTTTCCAAACAAAATGCTTTTCTGGACATTTCAGGACTGTAAGGAACTGCTGGTTGCCTCCCCTGAATTTGACGGTCAGACAATAGGTTGGCTGCTTCATGTAAAAGAACAAGAAAACCAAAACTGGTCTCTTACCATGTTCTTCCACGTGGTCAATGCACAGCCTCACAAACGCAGGCACTGTGCTGTTCTCCCTCTGACACAAATTAGCAAGGTTGGCTCCAAATACCTGATCTGAAAGACATTTATTTTCAAAAATGAATTGCTTTACTAAAATTGAGTTTAGGAAATGGCTAGGCCTTACTCCATCTGCCCTCGGCCTACTTTTTCAATTTCATTTCAGAAAACTCTTCACTGAGCCAGGGAGCCTTTGTATTCTCAACTCCTTTGGAGAGAGCCAATTTCCCCTCTCAGCTAAAATGTCAGCCCCTCAGAAAAATCTACTGGCCACTGTTATCTAAGACCACCCCTTCCGCACGCTCTCTGATACCTGTGTCAGCACGATTCAACCTGTCTGCTCTCCTATCACCTGAGTAGAAGTCTCACGAGGACAGGGACCAACAGCTACTCACATCACCCAGGCTCACCCCAGCATTTAGCAAATACTCAACTATGCTACAAACTATCAGGACGCGCACACGCATGTCCTTTGTGAGTGATCATCTGACGTCACCAGACCTCCCTCCGCAGCTGCCCTTTCACTCTTTCAGCCCCACCGTTCCGATGTTCCACGTAGTGCTAAATATTCAGGAAGGCCGACACACAGAGTATTTGTCGTGAGTGATACTGCACGGTGAGAACAGTTTACATTTCTCAATGAAGAGGTCTAAGGAACAAATGAGCAGCCGTTTCTATTCATTCGTTTGTCAAACGTCTTTTTATAGAGGCCTAAACTTGCCATGCAAATTCAGATTCTTTATTTGGGAATACCCATTTATCCATAAACTATTTTTTTAAATCCATAAACCATTTTTAAAGATTCATTAATTTATTTGAAAGGCAGAGTTATAGAGAGAGAAGGAGACACAGAGAGTGATCTTCCCTCTGCTGGTTCACTCCCCAGGTTACCCCAATAGCCAGGGCTGAGCCAGGAGCTCCATCCAGGACTTACATGTGGTAGCAGGGGCCCAAGCACTTGGGTCATCTTCTGCTGCTTTTCCCAGGCCATTAGCAGGGAGCTGGATTGGAAGTGGAGCAGCCGGGACTCGAATCAGCGCCCACATGAGATGCTGGCGTCTGGCTGCTATGCCTCTATACCACAATGCTGGCCCCTACCTTTAACTCTTAAGGCTGCTGATTTAATGCACTTAAACTCTGTTGAAAAGTCTTTTTTTTTAAAGATGTATTTTTTATTTATTTGAAAGGCAGAGTTAGAGAGAGAGGAGAGACAGAGAGAGAGCTCTTCCATACACTAGTTCATACCCCAGATGGCAGCAACGGCCAGGGTTGGGCCAGGCAGAAGCCAGGCGCCAGGAGCTTCTTCTGGGTCTCCCATGTGGGTGAGGGGCCCAAGCACTTGAGCCATCCTCCACTGCTTTCCCAGGAGCATCAGCAGGGAGCTGGATCAGAAGTAGAACAGCCAGGACTCCAACTGGCACTCATATAGGATGCTGGCGTTGAGGCTGGAGGCTTAACCCACTTTGCCACAGCACTGGCCCCTGACAAGTCTTAAATACCTTTTCGGTAAAACTCATCTGTCTTTTTAGTTTGATGTCCTGGTGATGGCCTTTGCTATAAAGTTTATAGTTATCTTTATCCAAGAATAAATGTCACTGCTCTGAGGCATGTAACGCAGAATTAAACATGCTCGTAAGAACTAAGGCATACACAAGATTATGTGATTTTGTTTTTAAAATTGTTATTTATTTATTTCATTTGAGAGGCAGAGAGACAGAAACGGACGCACAGAAAAGGAGACCTCCCATCAGCTGGTTCTCCCGTCAAATGCCCAGGAGTCTGGCACTCCATCTGGGTCTTCCACGTGTGCTGCCTCCCAGGTACGCCACTAGCAAGAACCTGTAAGTGGGAGTGCAGCCACAGCCCGGTACTCTGATCTGGGCTCGGGTATCCCAAGTGGTGGCCCAACCACTGCACCTGACACCCCGGTACGTGACTGTAAAAATACTTTGCTATTTAGAAGAGATCTTGCTAGTGCATGGCGGCGCTTGTAAGAGAAATAAAAATGTATAAAATAATTAGGAAAAAGACCTCTGATTCATTTCAAAATTACCTTAAATGCAGTTGAAGGCAGATAAATTAATAACAGAATCATTTGTTCCATTTTTCTTCCTACCTCGTAGTTTTTTTGAAAATATCTGATTGCTTCTGATCTTTGCGGCTCAAAACTAAAACGACCCACTGTCGTTCGTGAGTCTGCTGCCATCACGTCCAGGCATCTCCTCTCATACAAGCACCTCAGCTTGGCGTTTACGTGGGCTCAACGCTTCAGTTAAACGTCATGTGTGCGTTTAAAAACATCGATTTTCATCACTAAATGTCTTTCAGTCACTGTAACTGAACACTTCACGAATGAAGAACGAGACATGCTTACAGTGTGGAAACTGCCCGTTTTTTATGTGCAACGTCTTGTTTCTGACTCTGGCCGATGCTGATCATCACGAACACCCCTCCTCTTACCCACCTTTGATATACCCCTTTTCACGAACAGCCTGCAACGTGGGGCGGCGCGTAAGAAACTTCTTCAGGTTTTTCTTGGTTTTTTTCTGTTCTGAAGAATCTATGCTGGACACTTTCATAGCTTAACAGACAGACAGACAGACAGACACATATAAGCATTTCATAAGATAACAAGTTCTGGGAAGAGTCTCTCCACCCAGCACTCCAAGCACACCAGGAGCCTCAGAAAGGCCACTGAAAATGTGCATTGTCCTCTAATTCCATTTTCCCATAAACTTCTTGAAACCCCCTCATATCCACATCCTGTGTCAAGGTAACTACAGATTCAGTTATTCTGGCTTCAGAGTGGTGAAAGAGTACCAGGTGAGGAACCAAATTAACACAGACCTAACTGAAAAGACAAACACTTCATTTCGATCAGTAAAAACTGACCAAAACCATACCTCATTTGGTATATACATCGAGGCACTCAAGTTATTCGAATTTATACTTGTTGTTTCACAAATGGTTCTATTTATCTCAACTCTGTCAGTTTAGGGAGTAAAAATAATCACCAAAACCAAACAAATCCATAGAATATATAACAGATAAAACACTACTGTCCTTTTTGAATCAGGAGATTGGAGATATATATAAGGGGACTTGAATGAGTTCATGAATAATGGGATTAAAAATTAAGTTTATTTTAGTGCAAAATTCTTTTGAAATTCATGCACAGTTTTTATACGATACTCATTTTCCACAGCTAACTCACCATCATATATTTTTTTTTTTTTTTGACAGGCAGAGTGGACAGTGAAAGAGACAGAGACAGAGAGAAAGGTCTTCCTTTGCTGTTGGTTCACCCTCCAATGGCCACCACGGCTGGCGTGCTGCGGCCGGCGCACCGCGCTGATCCGATGGCAGGAGCCAGGAGCCAGGTGCTTTTCCTGGTCTCCCATGGGGTGCAGGGCCCAAGCACCTGGGCCATCCTCCACTGCACTCCCTGGCCACAGCAGAGGGCTGGCCTGGAAGAGGGGCAACCGGGACAGAATCCGGCGCCCCGACCGGGACTAGAACCCGGTGTGCCGGCGCCGCTAGGCGGAGGATTAGCCTAGTGAGCCGCGGCGCCGGCCACCATCATATTCTGAGCTAAGAGTGGGAGCAGCTGGAAAGTGCTGCATATTGTCTTTAGTCCTGGCTTCTTTTTCAGATACAATTAGAAAAATTCAAAAAGCACTATTTCTTGACAATAACTCTGGGGAAAATTGACAGCATGGTAATAAAGTATAAAATAATCAAATTTTATATGTTGACATTGATATAGGGTGATAATAATGTCCAAAATAGGCCTAAACTTCATTAGAATGTAGGACAACAAAAGTAGAACGAATTTTGTGACCATCAGTTAATTGGAAGCCCAAAGAGCGCTCTCTCAGTTAAACAGGTGAATTTGTTTAAAAGATGAAACAAAAGTCAGAGTCATGGGAAATGGCCTATTTCAATGCCATTCCCCAGGTGCCTGCGTTAGAAAATACTTTTCTTAAAATCTCAGACTGTGGCTCTGCTCCTTTCCATGTCTGAGTTGGAGATTTGAACACAAACACCTGTGCGTGTGCACAGACATATGCTGCTCGCCATCATTGCCTGGAGCCAGGAGGAATTATGTACACATCCTGTGACTTCTGTTGTCCTAAAACGTCCACACTGCCCTGCAGAATCTTAAACAGTAACTAGGTATGTTTAGGTCAACAACACTTAGCTTCCTCAAGAAGTATGTTATAATCAGTTTTCCTCTTAAAGTATCACAATACCTTAAAATTAACAGGATGCCACAGGAATGCAGACCATAAGGTTGAAAAATAACAATAATGAGTTAACAAGAGAAGGAAACACTCTGAGACTGCAATGATTTAATCTTTCGGGTTTTTTGTAACATTGGAGATTGCACTCAGGTTTTATACACGAATTTATTTTAGGTCTGAAAAGTTACGAAAACAAGCTCACTCAAACCGTTAGCCCAGAAACTTACAACGGAGTTTTCTGAGGTCCTTTTGGTCCTTTTCTTTATCGTGCTTTTCTGTTCCTGGTGAGTCTGGCGTCTCCTCTTCAATTGCCTCTTCAGTCTCCGCCGCCTGTTGGTTAGAGATTCCCCGAACATTCATTACTTCTAATTGTACTGCAGTTGTAACACACAATTCTCAGAGCAACCAATGAAATGACTCACCAATGATCTTAGGAAACCAATTAGTACACCGCATGTACAGCTTAGATATGTGGTCTTAAAGAAATACTACTGGCATTAATTTTCATTCACAAAAAACACAACACATTGCTGATCATTCACAGGCTAACGTGTCTACTCATGAGCCGCAGCATCGGTCCCCCAGCGTGACTGATCCCCCTTCACAGTTAAACTGGTTACAGCCTGCGGTGATGCAACACACTGCAGCTGTGACAACACCATTAGTAACCATGGGAACAGTGTCAGGTAACACAGCCAGACTCATGGATGTCAGACACTGAAAGGAAACCCAGATCGTACCCTCAGCCTCATCAAGGCCACTATCACAGGCTACAAAACTGGACTGAGCTCCCAAAACTGTTTTGCTCTGCACATTGAGGCCTTCGTTCCACCTGGAATTTATTTTTTGTGCACGGTGCAAGGAAAGGCTCCGGACTCCTGGGATAGCTGGTCACACCAGCGAACGTTTCCTTCCCCTCTGCTCTACAGAGGTGCAGCTGTCACAGGGCATCCTGAGGCACACGCATCTGTCCCCAGTTCTTCACCCTGACCCACAGGCATGGAAGCTTATCCCTGTGTTGATACCATGGCATACTAGTATATCTCTAAAAAGCCTATGACAGAACCAGTCCTGGGTCCTTTCACCTTCTTCTTCATGACCATTTTAGGTATTTCTTAGGCCTTTGCATCTCTATATAAAAACTTAGAATAAGCTGGTCAAGTTCCATCAGAAAAACTACTGGGATTTTGAAAGAGGTTCAAAAGTCTCCAATCTACACATTTATACATCCTTTGTAAGAAAACTGTATCTTCACACTATCTTTTTATTGTTACTTGAGAGACAGAGACAAACACAGACAGGACCATTTGCTGAATCACTTCCCCAAATGCCTACAATGGCTGAAGCTGGGCCACACCAAAGCCGAAGGCAGAAAACCAATCCAGGCCTCTAGGTGAGGGGCAGGACCCCAACTCACAGGGACTGCTGGAATTGGGAGCAGAGCCAGGACCGGAACCCAGGCATTCCAATATGGGACACAGGCATCTTAACCGCAGCCAAATGCCCATTATTGAATCCTTTAATCTATGAATGAACATAGTACATTTGGTTTGGTATTCTTCTGTGTCTGTCAAGAAAGCTTTGAAATTTCCCCTGAAGAGGTCTTCCATCAAAATGGCCCCAACAGTCAGGTCTGGGCCAGCTAGGAGCCAGGAGCTTCTTCTGGGTCTCCCACACAGGCAAGGGAACCCAAGGACTTGGGCCATCTCCCGCTGCTTTCCCAGGCACGTTAGCAGAGAGCTGGATCAGAAGTGGAGCGCCCACGTGGGATGTCGGCATTGCAGGCTGTGGCTTCACCTGGTACACCATGATGCTGGCCCCTCCAATCACTGCTCTGAGACCGTGCTGCGTACCCTTACCGTCTTCACATTCACCACACCTCATCACACCTACTCTTCAGTCGCCTGTCTGCAGTAATCCTGTCTTTGACTGTAGCCTCTGCACAGGTAAGTGCAGTTTCTGACTGTATGCTATCTCCCCAGTGTGTAAAGCGCTCATATTTTTGTTAAACGACTCATGTATGTGCTTTAAAGAGGAAGTCAAGACGACTGGGACTAGTGCAGAAAAACCATATGAGTAGAGTAGAGGGTACATTAGGTTGCTGAATTTTTTAAAAAGCATTTTTTTTAAGTTTACTGTTTTATTTATTTGAAAGGGAGAGAGAGATGAGGGGGAGAGAGACAGAGACAGAGACAGATCTCCCATTTACTGGTTCACTCCCTAATGTGCCTGCAAAGACCTGGGCTGAGCCATACCAAAATCAGGAGCCTAGAATTCAATCCAGGTCACCCATGTGGGTGGCAGGGACTCAAGTACTCAAGCCAGTATCTACTGCCTCCCAGAGAACAGAGCAGGAAGCTGTAACCAAGAGTGTAGCAGGTTAAGCCAGCGCCACCTGCAACACCAGCATCCCATATGAACACTGGTTCAAGTCCCGGCTGTTCTGCTACCAATCCAGCTCCCTGCTAATGCTCCTGGGGAAGCAGTAGAAGATGGCCCAACTGCTTGGGCCTCTGCCACTCACGTGGGAGACTCAGATGGAGTCCAGGCTCCTGGATTTGGCCTGGCCCAGCCCTGGCTGTTGCAGCCATTTGTGAAGTGAACCAGTGGATGGAAGATCTCTCTGTCTCTCCCTTCCTCTGTAACTTTGCCTTTCAAATAAATAAATAGGCTTTAAAAAAAAAAAAGTGGAGTGCAGACTTGAACCCAGGTACTCCATTTGGGAAGTGGGTGTCCAACCAGCATCTTAACTGCTGCACCACACGGCAGCCTCAGTTGCTGAATTTTAATGGGAGTGACAGAAGTTTTCGGAGCAGAAGATTATAAAACTGGCTTTCGGAAGCTTCCTAGAGCAATATTAAAAGTGGGTTAGTGGGAGGCAAATGAAACAAGGACATCTGTTTAGGACTAAAGGTCTGTCCGCGGTTCTGGGGATAAACAGAAGGGAAGGGACAAGATTCAGAAACACCACACAATACTACAAATGCAAGGGGGAATCTATACATAGCTTCATGAGTAATTTGCCTAAAAAGGTCAAAGTTCCCTTTCCCTTCCCGTAAGCACTCTCTCTCACTTCTGTCTTCATCACATGATCCCCAACGACCCTCTATGGCGAACAGTAATTGGGAAAACAGAGTCTAAAAATGCACAGCCCCTAGCTGCCCACGACTGTGCTCACTAATACGGCCTCAGAAAACAAAGAACCCTGGGGTTCTTTTAGGTGGTTGTTATGTAAGTAAGAAGAAGTGTACCAGGAACTCAAGGTACCACACACTGTTGAAGGGAAGGCACAGAAAAACTAGAGAGGTGCCACTAGGACAGGAAAGTGCTAATGCAGAGACGACAGCTCCATTCACTTCACAATTCTGATCACTTCCCGTGTATCCAGTCATGGAATAAATACTACGTACAGCTGGCCTGAATTCAACCACAGATCACAAATATCTGAAAAAAACTGCATCTGTGCTGAACATGCACAGAAAATTTTTTTCTCTTCATTGTTTTCCTAAACAACACAGTGTAACAACTGTCCACACAGCATTTGTAAGTATGCTGTACTAGGTATGGTAAGTAATATGGAAATGATTTAAAGTACACGGAGCAGGTGCACAGGTTGGAAGCAAAGACTGTACCATTCTATTTAAGGGACTTGAGCACCCACAGACTTGGACATTCCAAGGGCAGAGTGTGGAACCAAACTCTCACTGATTCTAAGGTCCAAGGGATGCGTGTATGAGGCAAATCTCATTTCAAACCCACTAGTAGCAAACATCATATAAATGAGAATTTTAAATCATTTAAATCACTATCCCCAGGGACTGCTGAGTTAACTACTGTCTTCCCACTTCTGCCCCTCCTCTCAGATATCTATATGGCATCTTTTCACAGATAAATTGGAAGCCAGATGTGCAATAAGCAATTATAAAATGGAATCTTACCTAACTGAAACACGTACCTGATTACTGATTGTACTACTAAGAACTTTAAACCAATCATTGATAACAGTGTCATTATCAGACTGAATTAGCAGTTCTGTTCCTTGACGAGTTTTCAGCTTTAGAGAGAAAGAAGGGAGAAAAGCATGGTTAGTGCTTTAACAAAATACATGAACACACTTCAGTCAAGGTTTCCAAACCACCTGTAGATTATCTGCCATACGCTACACCGACAGGACGAGTGGTTAGAAGTACCACACAGCTATGCAGTACACTTTATTCATTTTATAAAATCTGAAGCTGTTCCTCCTAATAAAATCTCAATGCAAAGCTAATAATCCAGGACCCCAAACTCTGTTATCACAAAACTTGCAAAAAGTTTATTATTTAAAAATTACTTGAAAGTGGTACACTTAAAATTAGAATTGAGGCGTAATTCACTTGTAAAGAAAGAAAATGCTTGACATTTTTACAAAGCCTGACAAATTTATCCCTGGTTAAAAAAAAAATACACAGAGAAAAGAATACACAAAGGGCTCGAATTTTAAAATTTCCTACTTAATAAGCAAATACTGTGGCTTAGTATAAAGACAGAGCACAGACAATAAATATCACCCCTTGGCGCAGAGATAATACCAAAGCGTCAAACCATGAACAGAGGAAAGGTACTATGTATTATTCTGTTCCAATAATAATTTATGTGTAATCGCTGTGGTTCGAAGCTTTTTACACTTGACTGAGAAAGGTAGTTGTGTAAAGTATTTTTTTTTTAAAAAAATTTTTTTTATTTATTTATTTATTTGACAGGCAGAGGGACAGAGACAGGAAGAGACAGAGAGAGAGAGAGAGAGAGAGAGGGAGGGAGGGAGGGAGGGAGAGAGAGGGAGGGAGGGAGGGAGGGAGGTGGGGGGAGGGAAAGACCGATCTCCATCCTCTAGTTCACTCCCCAGATGTGTACAACGGCCAGGGGTGGCCCATGCAGAAACCAGGATCCAGGAACTCCACTGAGGTCTCCCGCATGGGTGGCAAGAACCCAAGTACTGGGGCCAGGATCTGCTGCCTCCCATAGGTATCAGCAGAGAGCTGGATCAGGATCAGCAGAGCCAGCGCTTGAACCAGACAGACACTCCAGGATGGGACGCCTCCCAGCCAGAGCCTAACCCACTGCACCACGGTGTCCAGCCCAGCACTCCTCTGACTTTCTGGTTGACAACTGATTACTTTTTCCTTAGAGCAGCATGTGGCAATATTTTCCAGACAACATTCTCAGGGATGCATTCCTCAAACATCCAAAGGGTCTTCCAAAGATCTGTGGCAAATGCGTATTTCAAGAAACTTTTTGCACCTAACAGATACCTTCTAATTCCACTTTTCCACGAATTTTTTGAAGTACTGTTGGAGTTCCCCAAATATGAAATGGTACTCCCCAAAAATGTATTTTTAAAAAACTATACAGTGTTAATTTGGAAAATACTGGATTGAAGAAAGTCTTAACAAGAGTCCATCCTTCAAGACCTCCTGGGCCTTCTGACATTCTAGGATGCTCTGTGCTTTCTCTAAGGTGAGAACAGAACATACATTATTCCCCAAGTTTATCTGGCCGTGGAAGCCTCTCCGCTGTGGCAGAACCTCAACACTGCACAGCTGATTCAGGAGAGGGTGATCCAAGGCTCGCTTCGGCAGCACATACACAGGAAAGGTGATCCCTTTCATGCATCTCACTAGAGAGCTGCTCAATCCGGTCAACCCCTGTTGAGATGTTCTGGTGGAGGAAAACCAAAAAACCACCGAAATCGTCTAGTAGGGGGACTAATTCCCAAAGGATGACAACTAACGGAACCATTATTTCCAAAGTATTATAAAGTAGGGAGGCCAGTGCTGTGGCGGAGCAGGCTAAGCCTCCACCTGCAGTGCTGGCATCCCATACGGGCACCGGTTCAGGTCCTCGCTGCTCCACTTCTGATCCAGCTCCCTGCTATGGCCTAGGAAAGCAGCGGAAGATGGCCCAAGAGCTTGGGCCCCTGCACCCACATGGGAGACCCAGAAGCTCCTGGCTCCTGGCTTTGGATTGGCGCAGCTCTGGCCTTTGCAGCCATCTGGGGAGTGAACCAGTGGATGGAAGACCTCCCTCTCTGTCTGTAACTCTGCCTCTCACATAAATAAATAAATCTTAAAAAAATGTTTAAAATAAGGAAGTAGTATCGCTGTCATGGTGATGTCTGTCGTGAGTCTTGGAAGACAGGTAACAACTGAGAGGCAGAGACTGGCATTGGGTTGGTACTCAACACTGAATAAAGAGTAAAACACCACACAGACAGGAACACCTGGGCTCTGCCTGGGAGACAGCAGTGAAGCCAATCTGCCTAGAGAAAGCCCTGCGACGTGAGGCTGAGAAAGGAAGCTAGATCTACAAGATGGTTTGCAGAGCCAGTCTCAGAACTTCCTCCCAGCACTGAAGACACACCCTCTGCAATGGCGAACGCCAGTCCCCCACAACCCTGAGTACTTGGCTAGCCTTCTGAGAGGTGTGAATTATCAGAATACACTGGGAGTGAGGTGGGACTCCCACGTCCAGGCCTCGAGACGCCTTGCGGCTTCTACCCGGCCTGCCTGGAACCAGACCCCTGCACACGAGGAAGCGTGAGGTAGCCCCCTGGAGAAAACAGAGATCTTACAGAGAAAGAGGCCTGGCCTGGCAGGCACCAATGCCATGCAGCTCTAGTCAAGCCTCAGGAATGCTCCCAAGGGAGATCCTAAGAATCACCCAGCTCAGACCAGGTCCAATCGGGCAAACAGAATGGTTCTTTTGTTACACCACTAAGCCTTGGAATGGTCTGTTTCGCAGCTGTAAATAACTGATACTACTGTGGAGGATTCAGAAGGACAAAATGGACAGGTTTCTACCTCAAAAATCTCTTAATCATTTTATTTGAAAGACAGGTATCACACACACACACACACACACACAATCTTCTATCTGCTAGCCCACTCCTCAAATACCTGCAACACCCAAGTACTTGAGCCATCACCTGCTGCCTCCCAGGGGGTGCATTAGTGGGAAGCTGAATGGGAAACAGAGTAGCCAGAACTCAACCTAGGCACTCCAACATGGGACACGGCATTCCAAGTGTTGTCTTAACTGTTGAGCCAAACATGTGCCCTGAGATTATTCCTTTAGGATCAGTTTTAGGATCACAGCACCTCCATATATGTAGTCTTCCAATTATCAAAACCCTCCTCAATTTACTTTTTTAACATTGAATTTGGGGAGCCGGCACCATGGCACAGTAGTTCAATCCTCCGCTTGCAGCACTTGCATCCCATATGGGCGCCGTTTCTAGTCCTGGCTGTTCCTCTTCCAATCCAGCTCTCTGCTGTGGCCTGGGAAAGCAGTAGAAGATGGCCCAAGTCCTTGGGCCCCTGCACCTGCGTGGGACACTGGGAAGAAGCACCTGGCTCCTGGGTTCGGATCAGTGCTGCTCTGGCCGCTGTGGCCATCTGGGCAGTGAACCCATGGAAGGAAGACCTCTCTGTCTTTCCCTCTCATTGTCTGTAACTCTACCTCTCAAATAAATAAATAAAAAATCTTAAAAAAAATATTGAATTTGGCAGGTCAATCGAAACACACCTTTCTATTTTTGCCGAGGAAAGGATCTGCCGGGGAAAAAGGCTTGGAGTATCAAGTCTTGAGTTTCAGTAATTTGCTGAGTTTTTTTTTTTTTTTTTTTTTTTTTAAACAGGCAGAGTGGACAGTGAGAGAGAGAGACAGAAAGGTCTTCCTTTTCCATTGGTTCACCCCCTCCTGGCCACTGCAGCTGGCGCACTGCGGCCGGCGCACCGCGCTGATCCGATGGCAGGAGCCAGGTGCTTCCTCCTGGTCTCCCATGGGGTGCAGGGCCTAAGCACTTGGGCCATCCTCCACTGCACTCCCGGGCCACAGCAGAGAGCTGGCCTGGAAGAGGGGCAACCGGGACAGAATCTGGCGCCCCGACCGAGACTAGAACCCGGGGTGCTGGCGCCACAGGCGGAGGATTAGTCTATTGAGCTGTGGTGCCGGTCAATTTGCTAAGTTTTACATCACCCTTTTTCCCCCCTGAAATTACGATTCTTTGATCTTATCACTATTCACAATGCAAGACTATTTCCAAAACTAACTCTAAAATAGTGTATCCAATTGCCACATTAAGAACATGATCCTTAGAAGAATACTCATTACCTCCAGTACATTCTTTTTGCTGGATTTGTCCTTCGAAGCCATCTCAATCGTCGCTCCCTTGAGGTCCACTGTGAACTCTGGTTTGGACTGATTACTCCCAAACTTCATTGTAGAGAAAGAGGAAAATTGTTATGTGATACTCATGCAGCGTGTGGGTAAATTCAAAAACATGTAAGGCTCATTTTATTTTTGTTAATGGTAATTCAAATAGGTTACAGTGGTTTCAGTCTTTTCTTCCTATATAAAATAACTCCTACTTTAAACATGAAAAACGTTTAGAAGATATGAATATGCATTACCTAGAAAATGAAATAAAATGGCTCAAATTCCATCATAATGAAGTTTATAAAATAAAGCCAGGCTGAAATCCTTTTTCACGCACACAAGGGTGAAATATCCCAAACTGTGAGGCTGTATGTTAACAGGCCTCTATGCAAGCAGGACATAAATTGGAACAAATCCCAGACCGGGAAACTTGGTGATGCTGTATTTGCAAGTCTACAAACATATGTACACGCAGGCTTTGCAGTTCAATTTTCCTGGAATTTATCCTAAACTACATATCACTACTGTAAAATGACATGTCCAAAAAGGCAAGGCGATATTATATCCGAGATCAATCATCTCAGGCAGCTACCAAGTGAATTTTCCACTTGAGAAGCCTTTTCTAACCCGATTGTGTGCTTTCAAGAGTTATTTCCTTATGGATTATTTACGCTGTCAACAACTAACAATAACTTGTGGGGAAAAGGCAAGCTCTAAAGCTCCATCTTGTTTCACTGAGCCCTGCTGGAAACGATAACCACAGTCAGATGTCACGCGGCCTCAGCAGCTCAGCGAGCAACTGTGAAAGGGGTGGGAAGACAGCTGACCATGAGCGCCTGAGGAGAAACAGAACTCGACTGCATTTTGTTAGCGCTAGGTAAGGAAACGGTGAGCAACAAAAAAAACTATGTGAAACATACACTGACTCTGCATCTTGCCGTCCCTAACTTAAATTTCTGCCAGTTCACTAAGAACAGAAAGTGCATCCCTCAGCGACTGGGAAGGCCAGGCGCTGCTGGATTGTAATCTCAAAGTCACAGAGATTGGAGAACATTTCCTGTATGTGATTCAGCAAATTTCATTGCTCAAATATCTTCTAGTTCTGTTGCACTTGTCACAGGAAGTGGATCTTACCCACCAACCTCGTGATAACTCATGCCCTATTTGCAGTGTCAGCTTTATGTTTCAGAAATGGTTCGTTTTCACCTGTTAGCAGTGTGGACTTATATGATGTATTTGTTACAACAAAACAAAACTACATTTAAGAATGATACGGAATTTATTAGAGGAATCAATGCAACATTTAGGATAATTTACAGAATTTACCGCTGGAATATTTTCTTAGAAATCACTGTAAAAATCTGGCTGTACTCTAGTTTTCTTTCTTAAGTATCTTCTGTCATTCAAAAGACATTTAAATAACCATGAAGCTATACACAGGCACAAATAACTTCTTGAACAGGAATGATCCAGTCTGAAAGTTATAAAACTTCAACACACATTTAACAAAATGATGAAAATCAATTATTTAACTTGTTGCCACTATATTTGCTATAGGTGGTTAGCTATTAGCTAAGATACAAATAACCAGTCACGTAAGATATAGCCACTAAATGTGAATACATGACCTGATATGAAATGACAGAAAAATGTGGTCAAGATAGCTGGCAACATTTCCAAAACTCAGCCCCATTTTTCCTGACTGTAGTCACCACCCACCAATGTATTCATGGCACAGAAAATGGAATTACTGTGGCAAGAGGCATGCAACAAGAACACATACAGTGACAGCCGACACAGGAGCACACTTGACATATGTGACAGCAGGCCGACGACTGACAGAATTTTTCCAAGAAGAAAGCAGCGAAAGCAAGAGCTCAGAGATGGAGCCCGGCTGGCAGAATGACTTGATGGGAAAAGGGAAGAAAATGATGATGTCATAACAGTGCACAATGAGAAAATGAGGCACAAGAGAAAAGCATCATGGACCCACATAGGACAAAAATCCTTTTCCATAGCAGACGGACCAGGCGAGCAAAGCTAGACTTTCAGACGCTTTTCAAAGACCTTGGAATTTATCTCGGGATATTTTCTGACTTTGTAATTATATAAATTCACGTTTTACTTGTAAGCCCATGTTGATGACAGGAGACTCAAGGCATAAAGGGGCTGCACCCGGCCCTCTGCCATGCTGTTCACTCACTGCTCACAGACCCCTGGGCCTCCTTCCTCCTGGGGCCCTGTGGGGCCCTGCCTCTACCATGCCTTCTCATCTCTCTGGAACAGCCCTGCCACGTAGTGTGCCTTCCAGGGGACACTTGGTAACATCTGGAGACATTTTCAGTTGTCACAACCCGCGGTGGGGGTGTCAGTCACGTGGTAGAGACTCTCCCACAATGAAGAACTATCGGGCCTCTCAAGAGTATTTGTGGGGAATTTTGAAATACTCAAGGAAAACACTGGATAATCAGAGTGGCGCTGGGACCGCTCCCTGGTCAGTCTTCCCTGTTACAATACGTAACTTTTGCAGGACACAATGCTCAGAACACAGCAGGCTTTCTCCTCCACTGAACAAACATTTACACTTCTGAGGTGAAAGGAGGCGAGGAACCAGACTTCTCAGTTTCTGGTACTGTTACGGGAGTGCAGTGACTAGAGTTTCTAGAACAAAACTGCAGGTATTCATCTTACAGAAGGCAAGGCTCCCTCGGTCTCGGCTACCCCAGCACCCACTGCACTTCTCATCCAGAGGGGAACGCCATGCAGCATTTGGGAGCTCCTTTACTCGATGTTAGCTCTCCATGCTCTGCCACCAGATACATGCAAGCCGGAGAACAGAACTGCCAGCAGTGGGGCGGCTGTCAGCGGGCCACCCAGGGCTGAATGGAAGACGTGCACCGCTTTCTTCACACGGACCTCCTGGTTTCTGTCCCGTGAACCTAACGTCTGAAAAACTGTACTTCTCCCATAATATGGTCCCTTCACAAAACCATCCGAACTCATCTGAAGGGAAAGTGATCTCTTCCTACAGAAAGGGAAACGCTGTGTGCCAGAGATGAGCTTCCACAGAGCGCCTTCCTAGGGAGACTTGAGAACTCTGTACAGCGACTGCGGAGCGCTCGGCCTGGCTGCTCAGCCTCCGAGGGGCATCAGCAGGTGCGATGCAATCCCACTGTAGAAGCAGGACACAGCTCATCTGCAGAACATCTACCCCGTGACTGAGCAGACTCAGAACTAGAATTCCCTTAAATCCCTTTTTTAACCATCTTAATTCCAGAATTAAGGAGAACCTTGTATATTTTAGCAAACTCCATACTTCTTATTTAAGTAATGTTATTTGCTTTTCTTTAGGCCATTTCAATTGGTTTTTATTCTGTTAATATGTGGAAATGAGGAAAGCAAGACAGTCCATAGTCTGATATTTTAAAATTAGTCATAAAATAAAAACTAAGAACTGACTGTAAAACCAAGCATTTCACCTTATCCCAAATCTTATTTTGTCTTTATTGAAGACCATAAAACATTGTGTGGCTGTGTTTTATTTAATTATGCCTATTTGAAATAATATTAATAACAATACTAATAAAATCTCATTTAAAGGCAAATATTCAAATAGTGAATTCCTAAAATTAAAAATTCATGAAAATTCTACAATGTCAAAACTGGGTAACTTAATGAATTTTAAACTCTGTTTCCACTATTGCCACATGGTCACACAGTAACAGAATTCTAGCTGACAAACAGAAATGTATCACACACAAAGTCAGTGTCAGTTTTGATTCCGAGTTCTGAATCACCTAAGGTCGCCTAGAGTGGAAGCTCTAAATAAGATGCAGCCATTCTGCCATCGTGATTGTGTGCGGGGTAACAACTAACATCTGTAAATTGAAAGAGAAGCTTTCATTTTCTTCAGGTTCAATAATCAACAAATACTTGTTATACAACTTTCTGCGGGTTTTTTGTTCTTACTTACTAACAAGTATTATTATTCTCCATTGCTTTCCTTTCACTCATCTTCTCAATTTCAAATACAGGTTGCGCCATATGAACACAGGACTGGTCACAGGCCTCTAGCATTGCGGCAGCACGAAGCACCACACGCGTTCCCTCCGAGGGGACGGGGACAGACACAGCTATCGTCCTGCTTCAGGCAGGACAAGCCAACATTTCAGTCGCTAAATATGAAAGCACATCACGGGCCACCTTAACTGTACTGGCTGATCAGAGAGCGAAGCACAGTGAGCGAGGCGAAACAAAGGCAAGGCGCTGGAACGGCCACATTTGTGCTCAGTCCCTGGGGGTTTTGCGGCTGCCTGTGAGAGCGGCTGAGGACCTCCACTCTGCTGGCACTGCGGTTCAGGACAGCGGTGCAGGCCCGACCAATACGGACGACCAAAATCTGCTCCAATTTTAAAGTGGACTTCTCTTTCATTAAACAGAGGAGCTGCAGGTTCTACTCTACTTTTAAAGAAACTCAGTCATTCTAAAAAAAAAGTTCATTAAAGTAAGATAGGAAGCAGACCAAATATGTTTAGAATAATTTTCTTCTTTTTTGGAGATGGTTTTGTAGTGCAGAGGGTAAAGCCACCACCTGCAATGCTGGCATCCCACATGGGTGCCAGGTCAATTCTTGGCTGCTGTACCTCCAATCCAACTCCCTGCTTATAGCCTGGGAAAGCAGGGGAAGGTAGCCCATTCCTTGGGCCCCTACTACCCATGTGGGAGTCCTGGGAGAAGCTCCTGGCTCCTGGCATCAGTTTGGCCCAGCCCTGGCCATTCCAGCCACCTAGGGAGTGAACCAGCAGGTGAAAGAGCTCTTTCTTTCTCTGTGTCTCCCCCTCTCTCTGTAACTCTGATTTATGTATTTATTTATTTGAAGGTCAGAGTTACAGAGAGGCAGAGCCAGAGAGAGAGAGAGGTCTTCCATCTGCTGGTTCACTCCTCAGATGGCCACAACAGCCAGAGCTGCGCCAATCTAAAGTCAGGAGCCAGGAGCTTCCTCTAGGTCTCCCACGCAGGTGTAGGGCCCAAGGACTTGGGCCATCCTCCACTGCTTTCCCAGGCCATAGCAGAGAGCTGGGTCAGAAGTGGAGAAGCCGGGACTCGAATCAGCACCCATATGGGATGCCGGCACCACAGGCTGCGGTTTTACCTGCTATGCCATAGCACCAAATCTTTCGTAAAAAGTAACTTTACTTTAAAAGTTCTCTGCACATTGACATTTCAAACTCAATTACTGAAACTTTTAGGAAATACCCAGAGCACAGACTCAGGGCCAAAACAGCAACTTTTTAAACCCAGCTCTGCGAGGCTCCCAGGGAGTTCCTGACCCCCTGGACCTCTTCTTGTCAGCTGTGGCAGAGGATGAGGTGCACAGTGCACCTGATGCACACTGAGTGTACAAGAAACACTAGCGACCAGATGCCACAAGTTCTAACTGCCTACGTTTTTATTACAAATAAACTGAGGAGTAGTGATAGAAAGCATTCAAGAACGCAGACATCTGGTGAAATCTTTTTCTTCTAAAACCTGCTGACTCAGACGCTGAACCCTGGGTCAGACCACAGTTCAGGCAGGCTCGCCCTACGACTGCCTATTCTCTGACTAACACCTGAAACACCAGAGGCTCAGCTACAGGAAAGCTTTCCAATCCTGAAAATGACTCAAGAAATGAAATTTGTTCTATAATGCCCAAGGAGCAAGCCCACAGTTCCGTTCAACAGCTAAAGCAGAACCTGTTGATTTTAATACAACAAACTTTTCTACTGAGTCTTCCTTTTTCAGTCAACAGACATCTTTAACTAGAAAAAAAAAAAAACTTCATTGATTTTATCTGCACATTAACTATAACTAGAAGGACTTTGGAAATTACTCTGCAAATTCGGGTATACCTGAATACCATCCATATAATTTAAAGCCTCCAAAGAAAAGAGATACTCACCCAACTCGTGCTACTTCCTTGAGTTTTGGTAAAAAGCAATGATGATCCCTGCAACACTGCCCACGAAGATAACCAGTTCTTTCTGTAATGATAAAGATGACCAATTACAGCTCTACTTGTCCAGTTCTTCCAACCACTTAAAAATCAAAACCTACTTAACTATTATCACTATCATCTACAATTTACAGGAATTACTGACACTCGAATAATCATTTTTATTGAGGATTTGATGCTGATGGAACGCAGTCATTTGCAGCCCCAACCTGATCTCAAAGACCTCAAAGCAAATGGAGTCAGCTGGGGATACAAGTTATCCAAAAACTATGAACAATCCCCTAATTAGGTTCACATGGAGCTAATCCAGCACACTGTGGTCATGCCCACTAACTTCTTTGAAAGTCACACAAGTGGAACACCATATTTGGCAAGAATTCTTATTCACAATTGGAAATTGGACAAACATGCTTTCCTCAACTCTCCTAATTCCTCACAAATACAGACTGCTCCTTCCTTCTCTGCTCTCCCTTCTGCTAAACAGGGCTGCTCGAGGCAGCAGTAGATACTGATGCTTTGAAGTCTAAAATAACATGCACACTGACTGACCAGCCAGGTTACTTTAGCTAGCCTGACATTCAGAGGGGAAAAAGTCTTCCTAAATTCACCAAAGCAACACATAAAAATTCTGAAGACAGAAATGTGTTAGGAAAAAAATGAAAAGGCCCCCTTTCTTCTCCGTCAATCCATACTTCAGAAGTAACCAATGTTCAGAGTTGGCTGTAATACAAAGCTCTAAAATACATCCCTTTAACACTGACTGTCTCATCTCCAGATACACAGGAAGACTCATACGGAGTATGTCATCATCAGCGTTCCTATTGAGCACTTTAAAAGCTGACAATTGTCATTCCCTGGCCAGATTCTACCCAGTTTTCCCCTTCATTGTCTTTTATTCTACATTAGAGTTGTTTGCCTAAATGCTTCTTTCCCTTTGAAGTTGCAAAGTTACTTGAAAGCAGAAACAGTGCGTTATTTTAATCATCTCAGGCCTAGCAAAACACTTTTCAAACAGCAGGTGTGGATCAGTGTTTGCAGACAGGAAAACAGGGGAACTCAGTTGTTAGGAGGTTAAAATGAATGTCAAATCCATCTACTATAGGAAATTATCACGGCTTTCCTTACAGCCAAACATGTGGCTGGTTTTGTGAAAACGCTACAGACATACAAGTTTATTTTCTGTTTTCAAAATGTTAGAATTTAAAACCTATCAAGTAGGTGTACTTTATTAATTTTATCACTCCTTATGTCTACTTGAACTTCATGTATTAAGAGGAGTGAAATGGGCCAGTGCTGAGGCATGGTAGGTTGAGCCTCTGCCTGCAGCACCAACATCCCATTTTAAGTGCTGGTTCAAGTCCTGGCTGCTCCACTTTCAATCCAGCTCCCTGCTGATGGCCTAGGAAAGCAGTGGAAGATGGCCAAAGTGTTTGGGCCCCTGCACCCACTTGGGAGACCTGGAAGAAGCTCCTGGTTCCTAGTTTCAGATCGGCCTATCTCCAGCCATCACAGCCATTTGGGGAGGGAACCAGCAGATGGAAGACTTCTCCCTCTGTTTCTCCCTCTCTGCCTCTCAAATAAAAAAAAAAGAAATCTTAAAAAAAAAGTATATGTCTTTCACCACAATGAAAAACTTTAACGCTTTCACACACAAAGTAGAACAACAGCCAGGGCTGAACCAGGCTGAAGCCAGGAACCAAGAGCCTCAGGCGGGTCCCCAGTGTGGGTGCAGGGACTCAAGCGCTTGGGCCACCCAATACTGTTCTCAGGACATTAGCAAAGAGCTGGATCATAAGGGGAGTATCTGGGACTCAAACCAGCATCCACATAAGATGCTGGTGCCACAGGTGATGGCCTCACCCACCATGCCACAACTCCAGCCCCTAAAGGTAGAAGTTTTAAACATTTCTCATCTGCCACTGTTTGACAACTCCTCAACACTTAATGACATCAGTGACCTTTCTGGTATTACCAATGTGTGATTCTTGGTAGTATGAAATAAAATGTGTACCCATATGAAAACTGAGCAAACTCAGTGAACCAGTAGTTCCAAATGACCTACAAGATACTATAAAATTATGGATGGGTAAAGATTCATTCAAGGTGCTGGCGCTGTGGCATAGCAGGTAAAGCTACTGCCTACAGTGCTGGCATTCCATATGGGCGCCGATTCCAGTCCCAGCTGCTCTACTTCCAATCCAGCTCCCTGTTAATGTGCCTGGGAAAGCAGCAGAAGATGGCCCAACTCCTTGGACCCAATCCCTTGGGAAAGAGCAAAGAATTTGACAACATGCTGAACTGGGAAAAGCTATGGAACTATGCCCGCTCTGGGGGCAGGGAGGGATTCAACATGTTGGAGCACAATTTGTAGTACTTCACCAAAATGACCTTGCCAAGGGTCTAGCAACTCTGCTTTTGCAAAACTGATTCTACAAGCACAGTAACATATTTACAAAATGCACTAGCCCAAGATGCTAAGTGCCATATTGTTTGTAGTAGTAAACACTGTAAACATGCTAAACGTTCTACCAGTGGGCCTCGTTACATACTTACAAATAAGTAACAGCTACATAAACTACAGTACAGTCATACAGCATGCAACTGTGCAGCAGATAATTCATTGTGGCAGCTCCACAGGCAATGCAATGGAGCCATCTCCAAGACAGACTGAAAAGACTGTCTCACAGATCCATCTATGCACACGTGCGTAGGAGTACATCCTGTCTCTGGAGGAAAGCACTAAACTCACGGGATGCAACCCTGGCTGCGTCTGGGGAGGGACCCGATGGCTGGCTAACCGACTTCAGTCACTACTTAGTGTACCCTGCTTTTTATCATGTGCATTTACTGCCTACTGAAAATAATAACAGGAATTTAATACTGAAAGTAAGTTAAGGCTTCCCCGAATCTGTTGCTTGATCACCTCTGAATTTAATATTACTTAAGAAATAGGTGAAGACAAAGGAAAATGTTCATACAATTCATGACACACACTCACATACTCTAGTACATTAGAAAGTAACCCATTAGAAATTCTGCAACTCTCAATCATTTCCACTAGAATACATCTGGGACGTTCCACGTATTTCAGTCAGATGAATCACATCAGAGCATTAAAGAATCTGTACTTACCGAACTTTTTTCCCATTTTCAGTTATTTTTGTCACATTTAACAATCCATATTTCTCTTGGCCCTAGGAACAGAGTAATACTGTTTATGTGCCATGCATGTGGACAGTGCAGTCTAAGCTCTAACCCAGGACTGAGCGAAACGGCCGGGAAGTCTAACAATTAGCTCGTGGGAAAGATTAGTGAGTACGTGACGTGCTTAGTACTACGGCACAAGTGTAAGTTTCCTAATGCTTCCAGAAAGCTTTATTCAGTGACCTGACAAAGTCTTCCTCTTCTCCCTCAGTTACAGCAGCTATCAGGTACTTCCTGCGCTACCAAATTAATTTCCACATGAACAAGTCAATACCAGAGAAATTATTTATGTGAAAAATACCGGAAAAAAAGGAATTCTTTACTTTGTTTTAACTACATAATCTGAAAATTATTCAACATACTAACCCACTCTGAATATAAAAATAACTAGGGAGGGGCCGGTGCTGTGGTGTAGCGGGTAAAGCCACTGCCTGCAGTGCCAGCATCTCATATGGGCGCTGGTTCTAGTCCTGGCTGCTCCTCTTCCAATCCTGCTCTCTGTTATGGCCTTGGAAAGCAGTAGAAGATGGCCCAAGTACTTGTGCCCCTGAACCCACATGGGAGACCTGGAAGAAGCTCCTGGCTTCAGACTTTGGATTGGTGCAGCTCTGGCCTTTGCAGCCATCTGGGGAGTGAACTAGTGGATGGAAGACCTCTCTCTTTATCTCTACCTATCTCTGTAACTCTATCAAATAAATAAAATAAATCCTTAAAAAAAACCCAAAAACTAGGGAGAACAAATGCAGAGACTGTGATAATAAAATAATCAAAAGTAACTGTTATTATGTACAGTACTGGCTTTAATATGGCATAAAAACTCAATATGTGCTTCATTAACTGTGCTACCAGATTGTGAGTTAGGCTCTGGATAAAACTAGATTTATTAGGCAGCTGATGTCAAAAAATAATGATACAAGCTTTATCAGCAAACACTATGTAGGCAAAATCCAGTATATTAAAATTAATGTTATTTTAAAATTCTTCCAAATGGAAATGAAGAAGTATTTTTCTCACTGCTTTTCCTTCCTACACTCAAAGGAACTTAAACAAAATGAGTTGGTGCCCACATCAATTATCAATGTTAGTATAAGCACTGTACATTAGTACATGAGACAATGGTTAATTTTAATTCAGTGGAAACACACACACTCACTCTCAGAGGAAAATATTCTCAGTTCAGCATTTGTTTCTGACTATTTAATGGATTCCCCATCTACATTTTCTCTATGTACTTTAATTAGAAAATGTATTTTCTGTACGAGAGATAAACAAAATGTAATGAGTAATTTTCTCTATAATGCCTTAAAGATAACATATGAAGTTTTGCTTGATCTGATAAAAACTTACACATGTATAAACAAAGCTGAAAAATTGTCAAGCTGATTGACATTTCTGGCATACTGAGAACTTGGGGAATAATCCACATAAAGTCCTACAGTAATTTTTTCGTAAGACATAACTTAGATATGCAAGTTTGCCATTTAACTTAAGAACTCTGTGGCCTCTCAACAAGGACATCAGTTATACAATTCTAAGGGTGCACAAGATGTGGAATAAGAACATTCTCAACTTACTGTCCCCAACCCCCATCAGAAACAAGGGAAAAGTTAGAAACCTTTCGATGCATCGGGAACGACCTAAGCACAGGACTCTGGATGGATGGGCACTGGCTACGTGAGCTAATGAGCACTGGAACTGCAGGGGCAGGGAAGTGGGAATTAAGCCATAGAAAGTACCCCCGCTGGAATTGTGTGTGAAACAAAAAAAATCAGAAGCAGGAGGAAATCCAGGCATGCAGACGGTGGGAACAATGGATGGGCCAGTAGCAGTGACAGATGGCCATGCCTAAGGGTGAGCGAGAGTCTAACCTGGATTCTCATCTGAGTCAATGGATGACCTGAAACCAGTACAGAATCGTGCCTGTGGATGCCTGGTTCAAGGAAAGGATCAAGACCCAAGTACTGACGCTCTAAGTACAAAGCACTCTAACCTGAACATAAACTAAGAACAACATTCGCCACATTCAAAATGTTTAAAAAGTACAAAAATCAACTACCATACAATGTGCTCAGCGCTGCAAGAAAGGTACAGCTAACTCTTTGTGGGAGACAAAGAAGGGGAGCAGAGATGGAGGGAACCAGGAAGCAGACCTTGGCTGGACAGGAAGAGTAGGAGGGAAAATAACAAACAGCACCCAGGCCAGGAGCGGGGGAGAGCGCACGCAGCCAAGGGCTTTCCGTGGCTTCTGGGAGTTAGGTTTCGAGTTGCAGAAGCAGCAAGAAAGACTGAAGAAGCAAGAGCAGCAGGACAGGGAGCCAACCAGAGTCCTCTTCTAACCATGACCCTACGAAAGGAGGGAGGCTGGGCCCAGAGAAGGGACAGGGGGAGAGAGGAGGCACCACTCTGCAGAGAGATTCAGAATGCAAAACTGACAGAAACTGGGTGTGATGGGTAAGAGGGGAGATGGCGGAACAAACCGCCCCACTAGAGCACCCTGGTGGACGAGGTCGCCCGGCTCCCGCTGCCCTTCCCGCGGCGACCACTGCCCCAGTCGGTCCCTGCGTGCTCCTGGCTACCGAGTCCTTCCACCATGCCCGATCCCCCATAGGATGGCGCTTCATTTTACAAGACACACGAGGCCACCGAGGGGAAGACCAGCTGTGCGCTCACACATAGGCAAGGGAGACCACCAGAGCGAACATGGGGGCTGCAGAGAAGTCAGTGGTGCAGGGACAGACCGCGCAGGACAAGGAGGCAGTCTGTGCTCCCCAGGAAGCAGGGGAGAGCTGCTTACCTCTGGACGGCTGGCCTGAGGACAAGGGCAAAGTCTTTTCTGGGAATCCTTACATTTAGTTTTAAAAGGCAAATATAAATTCATCACTTAAAAATATGGTACAGACGTCAATCATGATCTGGCACAAAGCGGGTCTTTAAAATCCATAAAATCTGATTCTTGATTTCAACCTAACTGTGATTTAAGGCCAGTGAAATGTAACAGCAGGAACCCCTAGCCACATCCTTGGAGAAAGGGAACTCCCTGAGAAGGACTGAGGGGAGGCCAGGGCCAGCCCACCAGTGCCCACCACACTAACTGTGTCTTGGAGCTTTGGTGAAGAGGGAGAGGAGTCACTTTCAGGAAAGCAGGGTTTGGAGGCAGTTGTAGATTCCTACAAGAAATAAGTAATGAACACGGTTACTCTATTTGATATCTGACTTCATTCCTCACTCTACTCACAGTAGGAGAGCATCAACAAGCTAGCCAAAGGAAAATGTTTTCCTTAGTACTCTCCTTCTATCTTCAGCTCCAAAATGAATACAGTGCTGACTTTAAAACTACAGATGTTGTAAAGAGTTTAGGAAAATGTGGTAAATTTTAAAGCAATTATTGTTAAATAATGCATACAGAATTGTTCAAAAGCAAGGGTGCATGTTGCCTTAAGATCATGTTGCCGTACTAGCTTCAATTAACTACACCCAAAATATGCAAAATCCGTCACTGGGAGAGAATACACAGTGGTCACTACACCAATGTGCTCTCGGGATAGTAGGGAGGCGTCCCCAGCACCAGGCAGGAGACGGTCACGGGAATGACTTAGAAACTGCCAGAAGGAGGATTTCATTTTACTCAACAGCTACAGGAGAAACTAAATTAAACTGCTATTAATGTTTCAGTTAATTTATAGCTAACTTTCCATTGATTAGAAATAAGAAAGATTTTCTTTTTTTTAAAGTATTCATTGGAAGGTTTTTATTAATTTCAAAGAAATGAACATTTTACAGTGGAGAAAACTGGACACGCCTCCTTAGCCTTGGGATGGTGACATCACCCCTGCAGGAGGCACTGAGCAGGGCCCAGCATCACCAACATCTCAGACAAGCAAGATTGTAAAATGTAAGGAAGAAACCTAAAACGCAAAGATTCATGCTTCCCCTAACATAAAAACAATATTACAAAAACGGGCTTTTATGAGTAAGCCTCTAAGAATAACATCAGAGCAAACCGACAGTGAGTTTGAAGCCTCTGCTTTGTCAGTACTGAAACACAGTATATAATTTCTACTACAGACATTTATAGGACTATTCAGGCAGATAAACCTAAAAAAAAGTGTTTGGTGGAAAATGCCTAGCTTGATTTAAATTTTCTCCATCCACTTAGATGCTTCAACTAACTTCAGAAAAAGAGAATTACAAAAATCCTGTCAATACCTATTGATTGTCCTATCAAACAACCCCTCTGTGCATCTACCTTTGCATCTCTATCACTCTAGTTTTCTATGCTTATGGAAAGTGGAGAAGGTATTTCAGAAAACCTGGAAATTATTTCTTATAATAACGCAAAAACCATGAACTCAACAGTCATCCACTTGGAAGAAAGTCTTCAGGGTTACCTCCTACACAATTTCTAAACCCAGAGAACAGTGAGAGATTACAGGCAAACCCTGCCAAGAGGGAGCTTTCAAACCAAACGTCTAAGGCCAACAGTACTAATGGAGAACATATCAAAATCTTATCAAAAAATACCCTTACAAGAAGAAATTAATGTCTAATCCCCGCTGAGCCTCACTTAAGTTCTTCTGAGAACTTTGTATCAAATGAATAGTGTGATTTATTTTTCATAGCAAGATCAATCTTACAGAAATAACAACAAATGGAGTAATAATGCATAACAAATATAACTACTGTAAGCAAATAACTTATACATTTATCATAAATGTATATGCATATATATCTTTATAAAACTAAAAATAGCAGTTTCAGTAAAAACCATACATAAGCAGACACACAGATACTCCCTCTACCCCCACCGAGGTTACCTGCCAAATGAAACAGGATCTTGGTCATATTTAACAACACTTGCTTTACAGTATTAGCCTTCTATGATTACATCCTGTGTCATACACACTTCACTCCTTACGCATCTTGGGTAGTTTGTTCTGGGATAGTCCCTTTTCATAACCTCAGAGACTGCCTTGTCTTACGAAGGCATATAATAGATTATAAAAAATAGAAATGTCCAGTTGCTGAAGCAATTCCCTATGGATTCACCTTATTAGGCTAATGTAGGGAGAGGGGAGATATTTCTACTGAAAACAACCTACCCTCCGATCTCAAGAAAACCATATTCTCACCACTCTGTGGCAATCAGGTGAATGAGGAGATGGTACTAAGAATTTCATGCATATGACTTTAAGCAACAGACGGAAAATAAAGCTCGAAAGAGATAAAAAAGGAGTAAGAAATTTTAAGAAAATGTCACCAATATCATCATCCTATTTGTTCCAGCACAAAGAAACAGGGGGTTGTTTCAATGCTGACTTTTACTCTATATTAGTATATGAAGAGCATTCAAAAAGTTCATGGAAAACATCCATTATGGAAAAATTATGCATGGATCTCATAAAAATTTTCTGCACCCAAATTGATTTAACTCCATTTCATACAAACTTTTTGAAGTATGTTCATACTGTATTTAGGCACTTTCTATAGATCCTGAATTGTAATCTTACTTGGAGTTGAACAAATTTTTCTATTAAAAATCTCCAGGAATCTTACCCACCGGGGTGAACCTCAATGCTAAAGTATTTTCAAGCCTGTCTTCAGTAATTAAGTACAGACTGCAGAATGCTGCTGCTTTGACATGCCCTCCATATTCAATAGCAGAACATCTTTACACGAAACACGGAGAGCACAAATAATACAGCCACATGTCATCACATGTGCACATCAAATGCTTACGCTGGTTCAAAACAAAGAATCATACTTAACAATAGGAATGCTATATAAAGTAAGATGTTAGTACAGATGGGAACAATTCACCATGAAATATAATGCACAAAACTTGCCAAAATCCTCTTTCCTAAGAGTCCTACCTTGTCATTGGTGTCCAATACAATGGTGCTGTGTCTCCACTTTGTCAACACTATTGGTTCCTGCAGCCGCCTGTCCAGGCTCCTACTTTTAATTATTTCTCTCTGCTGCTGAGATGACGCACTATACTAAAGAGAACAAAATGCACTTCATTACTAACAGAAAAAACCAGTGAAGTTTAAACATGCTGATTCCAAAGATACGTGCCTATTAAGCAGAGTTCACCCCGCAGCCCCATTGTGAACATTCTAGACTCCTCTTCTCATCTCTCACCAGCACTGTGGCACAACCGAGAAGACTACAGATTTGGTGTTGGACAGATCAAGCTATGTCTGGTAAATGTTTACCCCCCTGAAGCTTCTTCAGGTGTAACACACGCGTAACAGAAATACGAACTCATTCCCTGAGTCACTCAAAAGACCAAATTAGTATAAACCTGCCCTGTCAGGCTCCCAGTAACTACTAGCTATCATAGTCTCTAAAATGAGCTCCTTGCATAAATGCACTTCCAAGGTTGCTTCTACTTCTAAAATCCATACGAATTTCATTTCAGGCTTGGATTTTTAAAATAATGCTTATGTACGCAACAGGGATTTCATATTTAAGGACTGTTTTTCCTGGCTAAGAATTTTGTCTTTGTTTCCACTCAAAAGCCAGGTGATGATTTGTTCTTCTGAAGTGGGACTAGTTCTAAAGGCCACCCCTGAATATATGAGTTGTGTACAAAGAACAGGTTGTGCACAGAAGAAATTTATGCAAAATGGAGAGCAGGTTTTCAGGCGTTATTAAATCATGTAAATGTTTGCAATGACAAGGAAAAACAAGAAAAAGCACGTGAGATATCCAAAACCTTAAGAGCTACGTTGTCTTATGCAGGCAAAATGACAAACGAAAACCAGTATTCTTTTTAATGGACACACTCTTCTTTTCAAACTATACTTGTTACCCACTTCGCCATACTTAGAAGTCAAGCGAACTTTGGGCCGGCATTGTGGCGCACGCACTAGGTTAAGCTGCAGTCTGAAACACTGGCACCCCATATGGCGCTGGTTCAAGTCCTGGCTGCTTCGCTTCCTATCCAGTTCCCTGTTAATGGTCAGGGGAAGCAGTAGAAAACAGCCCAAGTCCTTGGTCCTCTGCACCCACATAGGAGACCTGGAACAAGCTTCTGGCTCCTGGCTTTGGACTGCCCCAGTCCTAGCCGTTATGGCCATTTGTGGTGTGAACCACAGGATAGAAGTTCTCTCTAACTCTGCCTTTCAAATAAATAAAACTTAAATATATATATATATATATTTCAGACACATCAGATGCCCCCTGAAACAACTTCCAGATCCCGTTTCTCTCTCTCTCTCTCCAGCTGTGCTACATAATAAATGTGGTATTTACCCACACACATTTTTTACGCTTCAGTACACACTTATGTATCAATGAACACACTGTTTTATGGGTTTTTTAATTTTGTATAAATAAATTAGCACATGCATCATTTTTAAAAAAAAAAGATATTTATTTATTTGAAAGTCAGAGTTACACAAAGAGAAGGAGAGGCAGAGAGAGAGAAAAAGGTATTCCATCCACTGGTTCACTCCCCAGTTGGCCACAATGGCCCATGCTTTGCTGATCCAAAGCCAGGAACCGGGAGCTTCCTCAGGTCTCCTACACGGGTGCAGGGCCCAAGGACTTGGGCCATCTTCTACTGCTTTCCCAGGCCATAGCAGAGAGCTGGATCAGAAATGGAGCAGCTGGGACTTGAACTGGCACCCATACAGGATGCTAGCACTGCAGGTGGCGGCTTTACTAGCTATGCCACAGCACCGACCCCCACACGCATCATTTTCAACTTTTTTTTTGAACTCATACAGCCTCATTTTTGAAAGTATCTATGTTGGCTGGCACTAAGCAGCCCTAGCTCACTCATTTGTTTCTTCTCTAGAATAGTCTATTACACAGGAAAACTACCATTAGCCATTTTGCTACAAACAGACATGTCAAAGGTAGCAGCACTAATCTATACTCCTTCCAGCAGAAGACGAAGCTTTGCACTGCCCCACATCCATCGGCATTTGGCACTGTCAAGCTTACACATGGGTGTGTACACAGAAAATACAAAAATGTACACATATGACACTGAGAGGGGAATTCACAAGATTTGTGGAAAATAGAATTAAAAGAAGTCTCTTTGGGTACAAAAGGACTTTGAAATCCATGCAGATAAGGGAGTTTCAAAAAGCCTATGAAAAATGTATACCTGGATTTCAATTTCTTTTTGCACAAAACTCAACTTTTAATCCCATTCTTCTACGAAGATTCAAAGTACCCTTATATGGTTTAAAAGATTCATCTGAAGGGTGAAGTGCTGCCTCGCTGCTTTATTCATTTTTTAATTTATTTCAAAAGCAAAGAGGCAGCGATTTTCCATCTACTGACTCACTCCTTAAATTCTTGCAACCAACAGGCCTGCGCCAGGCCAACGCCAGGAGCCCAGAACTTAACCCTTGTCTCCCATGTTGGTCTCCCAACACTGCTGCCCTCCAGGGTGGAACTGGAAGCAGAGCTGGATCTGAATCAGGTACTATTACATGGGCTGCAGGCCACTCCGTGGTGTCTTGACCACTGAAGCCATTAAACATTTTTTTTTTCATTTTAATATTTATTTGTGTGTCTGAAAGGCAGAGTGACAAAGAGAGGGGCGAAGAGACAAATCTTCCATTTGGTGATTCACTCCCCAAATGGCCACACAAGGGCTGGGCCAGGCTGAAACCAGGTGCCTAAACTCCATCCAGGTTTCCCATGTGGGTGCTAGGGGCCCTAGTTTTGACTATTTCTTTTTTTACTATTTATTTATTTATTTTTTTTGGACAGGCAGAGTGGACAGTAAGAGAGAGAGAGACAGAGAGAAAGGTCTTCCTTTTTCCGTTGGTTCACCCCCAAAATGGTCACCACGGCTGGCACACTGTGCCGATCCGAAGCCAGGAGCCAGGTGCCTCCTCCTGGTCTCCCACGCGGGTGCAGGGCCCAAGCACTTGGGCCATCCTTCACTGCTTTCCTGGGCCACAGCAGAGAGCTGGACTGGAAGAGGAGCAACCAGGACAGAATCTGACGCCCCAACTGGGACTAGAACCCGGGGTGTCGGCGCCACAGGCGGAGGATTAACCTATTGAGCCGCGGCGCTGGCCTATTTCTACCATATTTTCAGACTAACTTTTTACTAGAGAAATGGTTGGTTTTTAATGTTCATTTTGTATCTAGCAACTCAGAACGCTCATCAGCTTTAAGTCTGTAAATTCTCTTGGATTTTCTAATAATCAAAAGAATAATTATATCTTTTCCTTTTCAACTGTATTATTTCTTTCTCGCCTTTATTTACTTGTTGAATAGAAGTAGTGATTTAAAAAGTTCTAGTCTACTTGAGGGGCAGCAGGTGATGGCTCAGGTAGCTGGGATATACCACCCATGCAGGCGTCCCGGATTGAGTTCCTGGGTCCTGGCTCCCATCCCAATCCAGTCCTATTCATTGCAAGCCTCTGGGGAGTAAACAAGTAGAAGAGAGCTCTCTGTCTGTCTCTCTACCTTACAACCCACCCCCCCTTCTCAAACAATTTCAAAAATTTTAAACCAAGTTTTAGTCTAGCTTCTAACTCTGACAGGAAATCTCTGTACTCTCCATGAAACATGAGACAATATAGACTAAATGACAGAGGACATTTAACATGACGTCTCAGGACATTTGAAGTGATTTTCTTATGGAAGTACATCCCTGGGTCATGATTTTTTAAGCATTCTGAAAATCTTTTAACAGGTATGTTCAGGCCAGTTATATTTAATGTAGCAATGTACATGTTAGAATTTAAGTGTGATATTTTTTAAGATTTATTTGAAAGGCAGAGTACCAGGGACAGAGAGTCAAAGAAGTTTCCATTGGATGACTCATTCCCTAAATGCCTACGACAGCCAGGGCTGAGCCAAGACGAGCCAGGAAGCAGGAGCCTCATCTGGGTCTCCCATAGAGGTGGCAGTGGCCCAACACTGCGGCCATCATCTGCTGACTTCCCAGGTGCACCAGCAGAGAGTGGACTGGAACAGAGCAGAGTGGCCGGGTCTCAAACCAGTGCTCTGTTACGGGATGCTGGTGTCAGAGGCAATGATAAACCCACTGCCATCTGCCACCATCTGTACCATGACACCGGCCCCGAGTCTACTGTTTCATTCTCTTCTGTCTTCTCTTTTGTTATCACTCTTGTTTCTTCTGTCCTGCCTCTCTGGGGGCTACTTGAGCAAGTTTTCCTATTACATTTTCGCATATCTAGTTTCACTGAGTCACTCTTGTTAAGTTTTCTGGTGCTTGCTCTAAGGATTCTAATGCAGGTATTTAATTTAGCACAGTTTGCTAGTGTCAACATGTTACTGTCTCAAGTGGAATACAGAAACCTTCCCAACAATGGCATCCCTTTCCTCCTTCTTGCCACTTGACGATGAGTTAGATGCCAACTCTGCCTAACAGTACTACTTCACAGAAGTGCCAGGAATCTGTCAAACACTGTTCCAGAGAAGTCTCCCAGAAGTCAGCCTTGACATTTCCGGTTTTCTTCAGTCACCATTTCCCTTCAGTTTGAAAGGGAAACCCCCACAGCAATTCTTTGGGAGCAAGACTGCCAGTGATAAAAGTCTTCCCTTCATTCTGAAAATGTCTTGATTTTATTGTCGTTCCTGATGAGATCTTTGCTGCGTGTACACATGAAGGTTGACAGTTCTTTTCTTTCAGCATGAGGTGTTACTTTCTTCTGCCTCCATGGTTTCTGACAAAACCAGAGTCATTGGAACAACCATGACCTCACAGGTCACAGGTGGCTTAGTGAGTTCTTTCCAGATGGGTGGGGTTTTTGTTTGTTTGTTTTAAGGGATGGTACAGAGGTTATCTTCTATTTTCAAAATTGTAACATGACTGAATATGGATTTCTTTGGGATCAGGGAAAGAGAGACCTTCCATCTGCTGGTTCACTCCACAAATGGCTGCAATAGCTGGGGCTGGGCCAATCAGAAGCCAAGAGACAGGAGCTTCTTCTGGTCTCCCATGTGGGTACAGAGGCCCAAACATTTGGGCCATCTTCTGTTTTCCCAGGTGCAT